TTTACCTTTTGTAGAGATTGGCAATAGCAGAGCTGAAATGATCCAAATGATTTTGGTGAAGGTGTATGGAGTTTAAAAACACAGTGGAGCACATTCTGTATTACCACATGACATCACAAGGTGGAACAGGGTGTTTTCTGTTCCACCTAAATACACAGGGTTTGTTAAACATGTGTGAATGTAACAAAACACAACTCCAGGTATGTTTTTGATGAGGAAACAACATTAGAACAGATCAGAAAATTGCATAAAATAGGCACTTTATGTACAAACAAGTTCATAAAATCCAGTCGAACCACTACAGTGTACAGATATGCAGTTTACAATGAGAAGATGTCTGACGTGCTGTGGCCCTGTCCCAAATGACATTAATAGGGGTTTCTTAGGGGGACGAGATGGCATGTTTTGGTGGTTGCTTTGACAATAAAAAAGGAGACAGTTCTGGAAGGGAACACGTCCTCAGGGAACCATGGCAACTGCAGTGGAAATGTCAAACAGGAGACCTTAACAAGAGCAGCGGTGGTGGTGTGACATACTAGTAACGCTAAATTTACTTTAAAATGACCAAATACTTCTAATACATAGTACAGTTTCATTGTACTAAAAATCAAAAGTATACTAAAAAAGTCTAGAAATGAAATATTGTTTGGTGTTTCATTACTATCAGATGTGTACATGTGTGTATTTCCAAATATGAATCAAGACCCTTTTTACTTTATCACAATATTCAACAATGCATGTTTGTTTGTTTTTAGAATATTATGTTGACCTAAAGATTAAATAGCACTTCACAGCAGCAACACAGTGAGTGGCTGCATAATTTATAACCTGCTTGTTTAGTCACAAAGGAGTCCATCTATAGCAGGCTGGCACCAAGTTAATATTTCACTCATGCTGACCATCCCTGTAGGACATTGGAAATTAGCCCAAAGGAAGTTGGTTTAAAATGGATAGACCAATTAGCCAGGTGGAGGATGGGGACAGTCGAGTGGGACAGCCAAAACAAAGGCAGTACTGCATACATACATGGTAAACATTGAGGCATTAGCACAGTTACAATGAGTGGGTGGGCTTCAGTGTCTGTAGGCTCTTGTGACTATGGAAACCCACAAAACAGCTGCTTAGATCACGTCAGCAGGGGGTTTAACTGTTTTTGTGTTGTTCTTGGGAGAGATGTAAAAAGTAGATTTATAGATATTGGCCTTTAAGATGTAATCCAGGCTTGGAGTTACAGCCCAATAGTTTGGACTAAATGTTATATTACAAATGTTGAAATAGACTACTTGAGCTTATGCATAAAATAATAGTAGCAAAACTCAACAATCTGTGAGTCTGTGAGATCTTTATCCCTCAGTAGATCGATTCACTCCTTGTGGGTCAGTTTTTACCCAAATTAGGATTCAAATGCGATGAGGGTAAGGCGGAATGCGACTGTGACTGTGTGATTGTGCCATGATATAGGAAGTGTCTGCAAACACATAGGCTTTTGTTAAATGACACATTGCACATTAAATCTTCACAAATGGACCATGTTTACTTTTTCAATGAATGATTTCATTAGGAGATTGGTATCTAAGGACTAAACTAAGAGTTGACAAGACTTTTTTTTTTAAGTCATACATTTGGTCTACCATTTGCTCATTTTTAAGGGTTAATGGTTAGCTATAAACCAGACCAACGCTGAAACTTGCACATCGTTTTAGCCTCGCAGACTGCCACTGGTTCAGACTTGCACCAATCCTAGGTGTTAATTTGAACATAGTTTATGATGTAACTTTGACACTAAAAGTCCAGATCTTCCTTTTGAATATGTTTAATATTTTGTGTTTTGCAAAAGTACATTGCTTCATAGGCTAGCTCAAATGTACTGAGCTCATTGTCAGAAGGGAGACTGTGGTCCCAGATGACTAGTACCTGACGTCTTCTCCTCCCCGTCTCTCTGGACCTGAGGTGTGTGTGTGTGTGTGTGTGTGTGTGTGTGCATGTCAAAACTATAAATAGTGTGTGTGTCTTCCCTTCTGTTCACTCCAGTGGGATTCTCTCATGTTTTAATTAAATAAACTGCTCAGATCAGGCCCAGCTGTGGCCCGGCTCTCCTCGCCCACATCGCTCAGCATCCCGATCAGGGCAGCAGAGGCCACAGTATCAGAGGCGCACTGAGGAGGAATAAAACAGCAAAAGTGGGGCATGGCGCTCTCCACCACCTGGGTATAAGGCAGAGAGAGGAAGCCCTGTCAGGTGCTGTGGTCGGGTTCCCCCAGAGCACAGCTCAGCTAATCTCATTCATCCAAACCGTTTCCTCTTGCCATACAACCCTGCTAATACTGCTCTTTATGTATTCAAGCTAATTAACAAATAACAATAGTACTGTTTTAACCTCTAAATGTGAATTCATATTAATGTATATGAGGCCATGTCTAACTAAGAAAAGTCAAGACACATTAGACTCAGACTTCAATAGATCCAATTACAGGATTCAACTACAACTGTATAAAGTTAACCCTTTAGTCACCACTAGTGAGTTATATAGGGTTAAAAGGAAGAAAATATGAGGGCACTTCCAGCTCCATCAACTCTATTTGACTTTACATAGAAAAATTGTAGTCTCTCCGTAACTGCCGCTGGGAGCCTTTTCATTTTGGTCTTAAAATGTTTTTATTAACCTGCTCTACATGATCCAGTGTTTTATCCATTAATAAATTCCTATTCCTAAAATGAAACTCGGCTCCACATTCGCTCTTATAACCTCCAGCATCATGAGCTTCATTTGACTGGAGCCGAGCATTATGGGTGATGTCATACTCACTTTGTCCACTTCTTTACACAGTCTATGTAATCCAGGAGTGGAGTTATTAAAGACTTATTGTTATTATAAACCAAGACTTGGTTCAAGCTAAATCCAGTTATTCTTCATACAGTCCCTGAACATTTTGTGAAACACTGATACATATAACCTCTAGATGCCATTCATTCTTAAGTTGTCTGTGCACTTCACCTGCCACCTTGACCTGCACTCTCACAGGTCAGATACAGGCCTGAGAAACGCTAGTTTTTGAGAGGTGCTTAACAGTCCAACAAAAATGTCAAACCGCTGAAGAATGTGGTACCTTTAGATCTTGTGAGTTTAAAATGCACACTTGCACCTATAACATCAAAACACAAAAATGATGATCGGATATTACACGATTCAATGAGATGTCTTATGAAACTAACAACTAACTTTATGCAAAGTTTTACGCTCGATCAATGCTGGAAATTCTTTTTTTTCTCTGTCTCCACCCAATTGCTTCATCTCTCCATGTCTCTCTCTCTCATCTATCTGCTTCTTCATGTGTAAAAAAACTGTAGCTTAACTGTAGCTTTTAGTAACAGTAGCTAAACCTGCCTTTTCTGCTTGTTAACATCAATAATGAAGAGCGTGTTTAGTTCCCAGACTAGCTCACCCAGGCCAATACTAAAAGCCAGTACAAGACACTGGAGACTGGTTTCTTATGGTCAGTTTCAAGAGCAGTAGAAAAGGAAGAATTATTTTTCCCAGATGATTCATACATTCCATTTGTTTTGCCTTTCAAAGAATCATCACATCAAAATGTTATTGGGAAGAACACACTGGGCTATTCCTGTCAGTGAGGTGTACAGCATATGAGAATTGACCGCGTTATTGATTACATTGTCGACAGCAGGTAAAAAGTGCGAATGGGTCGATGGCTATTCTAAAGCGTAAGAGATCCAAGGGTCCACTTTCCACACCTACATCACTCGAACACCAATTCAATCATACACTCGATTTTTTTCTACAAATTGGTAGATGAAACAAAAATCACCACTGCAGACAAGTGGACCGCAAACAGGCAGTATTTGGCTGGCAGGCTCGGAAAATCCCCTACTGGGTGGTACTCAATTTCCTGAATACACAAATAGTGGAAAAAAATATGCTAAAATATTGGATCCTTTCCTGATGCCTTGTAATCAGTAGCAGGCTAAAAAAGGAATAAAAACATGCAATAACTGTATTACACTGTATGGTAAACATTAAGCCATACTTAACTGGAATTACCCTATATGCAGTGCTACAATCATAATCAATATCCACAACACAAACACAAAATTATATCTAGTGCATTAATTGTATTGTAATTAAATGGGGTTGTCAAATTAAATATACTACAACACATGATCTAATACATACTTTTAGATATGTGTCATCTTGCACTGAGACTGGTTCAGATTCAAGGACAGTCAGGTATGCAAACATGCATTTACATCCAACAAAACCCCTGCATTACATTCCTGCCTGTCCTATAGATAAAAGTATATGCACACCTATAAGAGGATGGACTGTGTATTCAAGAGGACCACTCAGCAGAGATGATAGCCATGACTCACAGGGAAGTGTGTGAGTAGAGAAAAGGGTGATCAGGCACATTTTATGTAGTCATTGTTTGAGGAATTCAAGGAAGCTCAGCAGACGTATGATATGCCAGGAACAATTTTTTGTGATCTGGAGGCTATATAGTTTCAGCGTGCTATGTTCAGTGGAAACAGACCCATGCTATTAGCCTGTTATGCAGGCAAGAATAAAAGTATTACTGAAATAAGTCCAGAAATAGCAGAACTTTTTAATGATATACAATGACCATGATAGCTTGATGGTTATGCTACCCAGTCCAGACGTGCAATCACAGCTTTTGGGCCTACTTACAGTAATTACAGTAGCATAATTCTCATAGGTAGCAGTAGCACTACTATTTCTTTGCAAGTCATGTAGGTCTACGTGTTATTATAGGAATTATAGGATCGAGTTCCAGCTTTTAGTAGCTATTAGAACAGATTGAGTCAGGTTGGAGACAGGCGCATGGAGCCTTCCCTTGTCTTCTTCAATGAGGAGGCGAGCTGTCAAACATGACCTAACAGCGCATGGAAACAACCTCAGCGCGTCTACAGTCACTTATGGTCAATTCAACATAATCACTGTCACAATTATGTTTGCGTTTACTCACCGATACCAGGTGCTGAGTAGATGAAATACAATGCGGAGGTGGACAGCGAGAAAAGGAATAAAAGCCCAAGGAATGACCTTCTCCGAATCCGCATATGTGTCGGCATCATATAGGCAGCACGGGCACACACGCACACGGGCACGTATCTACAAGGACGGGAGAGTGGTTCCGATGTGTCCAGATGTCCAGAGCCAGTGGTCCCCCTCGCCGCCACGGAGAGCCCGGGTGAGATGATCCGAGTACAGTAATAGATCTGCGGCAGCGGTGAGACACACAGCAGAAACGATTGTAGGAAGTCAGTCTATTTCCGCGGCAGGTCGAACACAGGAGAAGACCTCCGAATTAATGAGGACATTGAGAACCCATTCCTCGAGCGATGGTTTGGTTTTGATCTGAAAGTAAAATGTCTCAATTTCAAAGGCAGAAATGACAGCCTACTCCACAGAGACCATCTTTCGGCTGACGCGGTATGTTACTGATGGTGAACTGCCGCTCCTGTGTTTCGCCTACCCGCCTATCAGCCGTTGAATGGAGCTTCCCCTTTGCAAAATGAGCAGTTCCTACGGGTGGGCGTTAACCATCCATCCGTGGCGTTCACAACAGCGCCCAACTATGCCATAATCACACAGGCTCACGTAATACGACGTTAGGAGGTACTATAGCTTATCTGGTGGGAAAGAAAAGTAGCCGTGGCTAATTGGCATGATCTTCCCTTTCTAGTATATGATCACGAGGTTGCTATGGCATCTGACTCACCAGGTTTCTACTGAACATAACATTCACTGTTATGCAAAAAGATCCCTTTAAGCACAAATAGCCTAAGTAACCAGTATTTTCTGTTGGCTTTTCTTGTGCTTTTGGGTTTTAGACTTACAGCTTTAAGGTGGACAATTTAGTCAACACCTAAAACGTTTGATTGAAATAACACTCCGTTACATAATACAGGCTAGCCTATATAATAATAATAATAATAATAATAATAATAATAATAATAATAATAATAATAATAATAATAATAATAATAATAATAATAATAATAATAAAAAGTCTACTTCAGTGAAAATTTCGTAAAACTAGTAGAGCGCTCTCTCGCCGTCTTGAACAAAACTACATAAACCCGAATGCTGTCTTCGTTGCATTGGTTCATGGGAAATGTAGTATTAGGTGACACTCGTTGGGCAAAATGATGTGGCGTTCAACAATTAAGTGTAATTAAACAACAACAATATGATTTTGACAAATACATTTACATGCTTTAATTCAAAGCAAATACAATTTGCACTATGCATGTACTGGTTTATTAGATTACACGTGGTAGTCATTACACAACCGGACTACAATTTTCAACAGGCTCTCATGCATACACGTCACCAGGAAGTGGAGTAGCGATAGATACACGAAGCTGTCGATATGGAAGATGCAGCGTATCTTCTTGTTAAAGGTCAATTTAAGTAGTAAAACATATCAACAGTTAGTTTTATCACAATGTTTGGCTTCCGTGGCCTAGTTTTGTTTTCATCTGTAGCGCTGCTGCTGCTAAATCCGTCTAGGCTAACGCTAGCTCAACAGCAGGAGAGAGATGGCGCTGGAGAAGCTGATGACCATAAGCCTGTTACAGCTAAAAAACAGTCTTTATCAATAAACAATGAAGGAAACGATGGAACAGCTGAAGGCGAAGAACCAAAGGACGGGCAGCCGGCCAGGTTTGAGAGTTTATTTATGCAATCCTAACCCCAGCTGACTTCTTTCCTTGGCTTGAAGTATTTCATTTTATTTTTTACAGTCAGTGTTAGTATTATGTCTTGGAATTTATGTTCACAAATGTTTATATTGTCAAAATATTATGTAGCTATAGTTTTCCTCTGCTTACGTTTATAGGCATTATAAAATGCGTTTTAGTTTGCCATTAACTTCCATCTGTCATTCTGCAGCAAATCAAATGACACGGATATCTACAACAATGATACCCTTCATTCTCCAACAACAACAAATAAACCAACAACCATGTCACCCCCAACCGCCAAGCCAATCCTGCCTGTGCAGACTGGTGTCAAGGCCCAGGAAGAGGAGCAATCCAGTGGACTGACTATATTCTTTAGTCTACTAGTCATTGGTTTGTATTTAACTATCTCATGTTTTATGACCAGCATGACCAATTGAGGCAGAAAGATGCTGCATAAGTATTCAATTGAATCAGATCAGTGATTGTTTTTGTGGAAGGAAATGGACAAGGAAAGGGAGGTGGTTGTTATGTGTAACACCACAAACAATCTCCTCAACACATTTAAGTAGCCATTATGCTTTTTTGTTCTGAGCAGTCACATGTTTTCACCGCAAGAGCTATGCATTGGACATAAATTATGAAAAATGGTGCTAATCCATCAAGTTGCAGTAGAAAATGCATGTTATTATTGCACTTTGTTAGCAGTTAATGCAGTATAATATTGTATTATTATTATTATTATTATTATGTATTATTATATCTATTTGTAAAATCACTTTTTTCCCCTTCACCACAGGTATCTGCATCATATTGGTGCATCTTCTTATTAAGTTCAAGCTACATTTTCTTCCTGAAAGTGTTGCTGTCGTTTCACTAGGTGAGTGATGCACTGAATCAGTTGAATCAGTTTGTACTTCATTAATTTGCTTTTGGTCTTATAAAATTCTATTGACATTTTAGCTGAAACTCTTCCCAGATTTACAAATTATAATATTTAGAAATTAAAATTTAATTCATTTTGAAATGAGTTAAATTATGATATTTCAATTTACTACATACTCACCCACTGCTAGACCTGCCACAGTAACAAATTTTGAAGTGCAATATATTGCTGAAGTAAATACAGGTGATAAACAATAATACTGAAACCAAACAATTAAGCACAATTATTATAAAAAATATTATAAATGGACAATATTGTAATAAAATATAAGTAAATGCAACTCTTAAGTAGTTTGTCTCTATAATGAGCCATAGAAGTTCATAATTCAACCTACAGTTAAAATCTTACTGCAGTGTAGAACAACAGCCAAAATTTTCCCACTAGAACTAAGAAAAGGTACATACTGATTGACCCCCAAAAATGATTGTTCTGTCTATCATGTATTGAAAGATAAGTGCATATAGTATTTATTGTGACAGCCCTTTTTTACCACAGAACTACAAGAGAAGAGCATATTGAAATTTTGTGCAGTTATCTTTTCAGACTAAAGCATTCAAATAAAGCTTTATGCATGTTCTTTATCTAGCAGGTCGGCCAAGACAAAATAACGGCCTGTGCTGAAAATTTTAGTCCGACAGTCTAAATAAAAGTCTAAAAAAGTCTTTAGAAAAGTCTAAATATCAGCCCAATATGTCTAATATATGTCTATTTACCATTAACAAAGCACATTTATGTAATGAAGTAAAAGAAGTTTTGTTTGGTGATTCTAAAACCTTTCACTGCCTTAATGTTAACTGTGATAACTTGTGCAACTTAAACACTCTCTTTATGTTTTTTCTTATGCATGCCCTGTGTTTAACACCAGTGTCCACTGCCCAACAGAGATAACAGTCGTATAAACTAGGAAGTTCTGCTTTTCCTTCCTTGTGGTTTCCTTTTCTTTGTGCGTTTTCCTTTGCACTATCCCTTTCCTTTGCCTCCTACACAATTCTTTTCATGCTTGACCCTAAATTCTACCGTGTCATCTCTTTTTTTTGTCCTTTACACATGTTTTTTTGTAGCTTTTTAACGTCTTTATCTAGTAAGTGTAACATGAGAGCTCAGAGCCCAAGGGGACAATCTCAGAGACAAAACTACACAATAGCATTTTAAAAACACTTTTTATTCAATTTTGTGCAAAGCAGCCATTATCTTTTACTACCAAAATAGCGCCCACAGTTTAGATATGCAGCATTTTAACATTCAGAGTCTGAAACTTTAATGATGTGATAAAAGTTTAAACAGCTGTGGTCTTTTTCCTCTTAACAGTGTTCCTTTGTTCTCTCTAGGAATTCTAATGGGAGGGTTCATTAAGATCATTGAATTCCAGGAGCTGGCCAACTGGAAGGTACACAGTCTGTCACTTTGCCTATATTATCTTGGGACTATTGATTCTCTGTTGATTTCTTTACAAGTAAAAAAAAAGGTTTAGGCTTTAACATAGTTTGCATGATGGGTAAGAACGGCTTGTAAAGCTCATAAAAAATCTAATACCATGGTAAACAAAAAAAAAATATTTATTGTTGCCTCCTCCCATTGTTTTGAGGCTTGATGGCTATTATTCAGGTAGTAAATTTGCTATAATTTCAAACAAATTTCAAGGAATAGATGTTTGCAAGAGAATTTAATATTTTTGTTTACTTTGTTTCAGTTTTTTGTGTGTGTACATGTTTGCGATATTTGGCCTGACATCAGTGACTAATTACAAAAATATAAATCTAGACTGTAATAATTTGTCACTTCCTGAAGTATTGACTGGGCAGGATCTGTCTATTGGGTAATACATTTCCTTGATAGCTTTAGCTTTTGTCTTAAAACTTTTATCCTTGCTTCATGCATGGTGTAATTGAAACCACTATGAATCTTTCTGGAAATCCCCTCCCAAATCCCGTAAGCCACTGCTGACTACCTTGTTTTTACAAATTTGCCTTTTTTCATAGCACCCACTCAGCCCAAGCCTATTCCATCAGTCATTCGCCATCCGTAACAAATTATTATTATTTTTACTCACTACCTTTTTCCACTATGTTTCATGCAGCTATTCTTTTTCATGCGCATTCTCACAACCTTTAATTAACATTCCTTGTTCTCTGCCAGTGAGTGAGGGAACGAACAAGAGCAGAAGGGGGTGGGGGGAAAGCGGGACAGGTTGTGTCAATGCTTCTTGCACACAGGAACTCATTGTTTTTTCCCCCAGTGGGCCCCATGTGTGTGCTGCTGAATCACTGGACCTAGTAACCAGAGCCCCCGGAGCCCCCTTTACCTCTTTGGCCCTATCCTTTGAATATCTGAGCCACCATCACATGCTCACCTGTCCATAAAGGCAGCATTCTCTTCCTGACTCTGCAGCCCTTTGTCAAAGCCGGAGCATACAAGTTACTCAGTTACAATGGTTAGCTGTACCATTTCTCAGACAGTTTTATTTTTATTGAAATGTGAAGCACAATTTAAAACATACAAAATAGTTGGGAGGTCAGGAGTGTGCAAGCAGTGGTTGTGCTCAGGGAAATTCACTGCAGAAGATACTCTTTCTTTAAGATCTGGATAGAAAGGATTCAGAGTTGGAGAGTAGATGGTTTAGAGACTATGTGTGGTCTGTCAGGACATTTGGTGTGTTGCAGAATTGGCAAAAAAACGTATAGCAGCAATGCAAACAAAAAGTACCGGTACATAATTCCAAACATTTGGTAACAGTTGTGCCAAACTGTTTGATAGTTTTTTTTATTTTCCTTTTAATTTTCCATTCTAAAACAAGAATATATTAAAACGTTTTAAAAATCTAGTTCACAATCTAGATTGTAACTTTGTTAGTATAGTAGTAATGTGAAAGTTTAAGGCTGTAGTTAAAACTGATGGGTTTTTGTGTCTGCCCTCCACAAGTGAATAATCATATTATGTGCAGCATGTGTTACCAGCTTGCATGATGTCCCAATTGGCAAATCTTAACAAGCCCTTAGCGCCGACCTGGAAACCACCAGGCGAGTTGAATCCCCAAAGGAAGCATCCTTCTGTCAGCATCATAGTGGCTATGACCTCCCCTATCGCAAATCAACTCTGTGTTGGTTAATGTTCTTGCTATATTCAGATGTAAAAGCTCTACCTCTTTTTTTTTTTTTTTTTTTTTTTCCACACCTTCCTCAGTCTAGTGGTACCCATAGTAGAAGGAGTCCAGAAATGAAACTCCAGCAGAGCTTATAACAATTTTAAAAGTCGATATATCCGATCTCAAAAGCTTTGTGAGAAATCTCATCCTGGATTCCAGGGAAATTAGTTGTCTTGTCCCCAGGATTTGATTCATGTCATTTTTGGGAAATATATTAAACCCTATTGCATTGTAGTACTACAGCTGTAGCCATCATTCCTGCACGCTGCTGTTAAACATTTGCGTTCCCGTGCAGAGTACAGCTGTACATGTCAGATTATTGTTCATGGATGGCCTGCTGCCTCCTTCCTCTCTTTCTCCTTTTCTCTCTGCCTCTTCCTCTTTTTCTCTCTACCTCTTGCTTTCTATCTCTCTCCCTCATATTAATATTAATTTATGACCTTTCTCCTCCTGAAGGGTAAGGGCTGCCAGGGAAATGCCAGACTCTTATTTTAACATCCTACGACCTCAGTTTAATTGAGTGAAAAGAGACGTAGCACTACAGTTATATTTTCATTTTGTCTAAGCTAGATAAATTTAAACTTGCAACACTTTTAAATTTGTAGAGTTGCCAGCAGCATCTCATAACCTAAGAAATCATCATTTTAATCCTGATTAAAGTATTAGGGATGCAACAATAACCAAAATACGGCAATATCGTATCTTCAGAAGTCTCAGAATAGTATCGTGGGCCATCACAATATATGCCGAATTGCAAGTCTCTTTGCTGAAATTCATTTTTATGGTGCAGCAATAGCTAAAAAAAAAACTGTAGGAATTACATAGACCATGATCCTTTGCTCTCTTTCAGTGCAGACTACACGAAGAAATATCTGTTAAACAATTATAAATCTTTTTTTCTTTGTATTATAACAGAACTAAAGGACTATCAAGGCAGTTTAAAAGGAAGTAGCATATTCACAGTTGTGTTAGCCTCCACAAAATATCGCAATAAATGTTGCACCCTGAGATGTACTTCATGAAAATATCATACCGATAGATCTGGATATCCCTGATAATAGAAGTATTATCAGGGATATCCATCAAGTATTGAAGCATAGATGAATGTGAAAGCATGTGAAATCTGTTTTGTTATGTAATTATGCAAGAGAGAGGTTTTCTGAGTGAAAGGAGAAATCAATAAAGAAAAGGGGAATAAGGCTTGAAATAAATGGACTAACTATATAAGAGAAATGTTCCTCATTTTGATGCAAACCGCACAGAATAAAATAAAAGTTCTTTTCTCAGCATTTTCATCATGCCATCTTGCAGAGAGATGGCACACATAGAGTCACACATAGAGGCTTGTGCTCAGACCACATGGTGCATCACGCTCCGACACATTGGCACATGATTGCTACGCCTGAACTGGGAGGGCAGCCCATTTAGTCAACAAACAACAATGATTTCATTATATGCCTGAACTCATCAAGCACAGTAAGGTCACCAGGATACTCCAGTTTGTCTGTGAGACAAGAATTAACATGACATTTATGGGCTTTTTTTGTTCTTCTATGCAGTGTACATGCGTGTGTATGTGTGTGTGTGAGAGAGAGCGCTGTCAGGAGATATATGCTGCAGCATGCATTGGCTGGCAGGGATTCCCTTCTGTAGAGTATGTCACCCACACGTCTAATGGAAATTCGTTTTGACAAGTTTGTTAGTCATAGCACACGCTCCACTTCCTGCTTCTCCGTTTTCCTCGTACTATGACTGAGGTTTTTATATCAGATGATTACCACAGAGCTAATCACAAATGATGCTTACATAATAGGCCCATGCATTGCTTTATGGGAAGTTGACTATAATGTAGTTGATTGAGACTGTTTATCACTACCCAAGTTAGCCAATATTTGAATCCTTGCCTCTGAGCACTTTTTGTTTCCAATAATGAATAAGTATGTTCTTTTGTCTCTTTTTTTCTTTTTTTAATTTAAGGAAGAAGAGATGTTTCGTCCCAATATGTTCTTCCTTTTGCTGCTGCCACCAATCATTTTTGAATCAGGATACTCCTTGCACAAGGTACAAAAGAATCTTTTAACACACCATAGTTAATAATTTAAATAACATACAAAAAAATGTATTATAATTTGTACCATTTTTCTTTAGGGTAATTTCTTCCAGAACATTGGTTCCATCACTCTCTTCGCTGTGATCGGAACAGCCATCTCTGCATTTATAGTTGGAGGAGGCATATATTTCCTGGGACAGGTGAGGACAGTTGGAAAGTCTGTCAACAATTTTTGTCTTGTACAAATCACTGTAAATACTGTCCTGTAAAAGTCTATATATAATATCCTTCCTTACTTTTGATATTTGCCCTCTTCTAGGCTGATGTAATTTACAAAATGACCATGACTGACAGGTGCGTTCTCCTTGCTACAATCCTTACAATGCTTGTCCACTCTCTGCTTGGGGTCTTACTGGTGTTACTAAACTTCTTTCAACTGCTTACTTATTTTTATATGTGCATTCCTGTTTGTGTTTTGACTTGTCTATTCTGTTAATTTAAAATGTTAGTGCTATTTTGGTACTGGGAGGTGATTTTGATTATCAAGCAACAGTGTGTCTGCACCACCTCCTATTCACGTTTGACTTTTTATAAAATAATGTACATAATCATTATCGCATCAGTGAATATGTTGTTGGTTACATTGCATTCAGATTTCATTGTTTTCTTTAATTGGCTGTGGAAGAGGAAAGTAAGTTGTTAGAACCCGTAACTCTTCATGATAATATAATCAGATTAATTCTGATTACTGTAACATTTCATGTTTTGTCCTCTTTCCTCTGTAGCTTTGCCTTTGGGTCCCTGATTTCAGCGGTGGATCCTGTAGCCACAATTGCCATCTTCAATGCCCTCAATGTGGACCCAGTGCTTAACATGCTGGTGTTTGGAGAGAGCATTCTCAATGATGCTGTCTCTATTGTACTGACAAAGTAAGACACACACATATAATTCCACCTTTGATTCTAATTAATGGAGTGGATCCATCTCATTCCACTTCGATAAGTTTTGATTTATCTGCAGATATAAAGTTACCTCAGCAAAAATATAATTATGATCTGTTTTTAATTAATAAAAAATATAAAAATGTATATTATGTACTGGACTGTAGTTGTGATGTTATCGGCAAAAGGTCAGCTACCTCTTAAGGTGACATTGTTTTGTGTGAACTTTCTAAGCATTACCTTATTTATTTCCACGAAGTATCCGATGACTGTGCAGTAAACCACTCATAGAATTATTATGCGTCATCTTGTGGTCACAAGAAATTGTTGTACTAATGCAATGCCTCTCTGATGACTTGAATAGCGAGTTTGACAGAGAACCTGTGTGCGTGTATGCGTGCGTGTGTGTGTGTGTGTGTGAGGAAGCTGGTGTCGCATCTGTTTACACTTGAACATAGGCCTTATCTAGCTTACTTACGAGCAGCTAAATGTGCAAAGTGATCTCAAGTGTCTGAGCTGCATCCCTACTGTAAATGAAGGCATGAATAATAGATGAGCTGGACCAGATCAACTGCCTTGGCCATTTACTTGTTTGTAGCATGTCAGGGCATGTAAACAAGCTTCTTAGAAAGAGCAGGGCAAAGGTAAATAGAAAACAGGTTACTCATTACAGATAGATAGCTGACAGAGGAGGAGTATGAAGCCCACATCTCCCAAAGATATCCATAGATATCCATTCTTTATTAGGGGGTTCAGAAATCTGACACCAATTTGCATATTATTAAAATGGAATGGTATTAAATGTATTGATGGTTACTTTTTTGATAGCTTTTTATTGCTAGCAGCTATTATTTTTATCCTCAATTAAACGATTTCACACTATAGGTGTAGACACCCTCTATTGCAAGAGTGGTTTTTTCTGTGTTTCTAAATTATGAGCAAGGGTGTGATTTTACTTGTTTTTCCACATATATGTGCAATTTTTGTTACACAACACAGCCACATTAATTTTACCTATAAGTGAAGGTTTACTTCAATGTAGCGCTCATTGTTTGAGTTGAAATGGAATGTTTCTGCCCTCTAGAGGCAAGTATAGGTGCTACAGTTTAATATTTCATGTTTCATTTCATGTTTTTTCTTTGTTTTGTTTTGTTTTTCAGCACTGCAGAAGGGTTCTTTTCACAGTCAGACAACTCAACAGTCACTGGCTGGGAGATCTTTATACAGGCTTTGGGCTACTTTCTCAAAATGTTTTTTGGTTCGGCTGCTCTGGGAACACTTACTGGATTGATCTCGGCTGTTGTATCCTCAAATAACCAAACCATTTCCCTCATTTACAGTTGTAATGTTGCTAGTTGATAGTTAGTGAATATACAGTATAGTAAATACTATTGAGTTTAACATATCTTTGTGGGGGGGGGGGGGTGTAACAACATGTCTGTTGTTATCAGCAGAGGGAGCTCAAACACAAATCTGATCATGTACAATATAGGCCTTTTGTATTTATAGTACATTTTCCAAATTAGTCATTAGTATTTTATGTTTTGAAACATCAAATACAATTGCAGAGGAAACCCCATGCATGTTTTTATGAGCCAATGAAGGCTAGAATTAAGCATGATATGTCCACATTAAAGTATTATAAATTACATTGATGAACTTAACTCACTGGTCAGTTTTTGAAGCATTTTGACCTGAGGAAGACCCCCTCTCTAGAGTTTGGCATGATGCTAATCTTTGCATATCTGCCATATGGACTTGCAGAAGGCATACAGCTCTCTGGTGAGTGCACACTTTCAGAGAAATAAATGCAGTATATTTTTAAAGATATCTCAAGTTATCTTGTATTACCTCATGATGTTCTCCACCGCAGGGATTATGTCCATCCTGTTTGCTGGTATTGTGATGTCCCACTACACCCATCACAACCTGTCTCCGGTCACCCAGATCCTCATGCAGCAGACTCTACGCGCTGTGGCCTTCATGTGTGGTCAGTCACACATCTTTGAGCTCCAGTGACTGCAGCACATGTCAAACTGTGTGCTAGACCAGTTTGTAATAATTACTGCTCTGTTTCTCCTCTTTTCAGAAACATGTGTCTTTGCGTTCCTTGGTCTCTCCATATTCAGCTTCCCACATAAATTTGAGATATCTTTTGTCATCTGGTGCATTGTAAGTATTTTAAATGTTTGTATAATATTCTGTGAAGAATTTGCTAAAATAATGATTTTGGTTCATTTCAGGTGTTGGTCCTGCTTGGTCGTGCAATCAATATCTTTCCACTATCTTTTTTGCTCAACTTCTTCAGAGACCACAAGATCACCCCTAAGATGATGTTCATTATGTGGTTTAGTGGTCAGTACTACACTGAAATTGTGGAATATATGTTTTATAATATTTAATGCCTATTTTACTTCTTCATATTTTGACATAATTTGATTTATTATAGGTTTGAGAGGTGCCATTCCATACGCTTTGAGCCTCCATCTTGGCCTGGAGCCTATAGAGAAGCGCCAGCTCATTGGCACCACAACCATCATCATTGTCCTTTTCACCATCCTTCTCCTCGGAGGCGGGACTATGCCTCTCATCCGCATCATGGACATTGAGGAGAGCCAGTCACGACGCAAAAGCAAGAAAGACGTTAATCTCAGCAAGACACAGAAAATGGTAATTACTTTCTTTGATATTAGATTAGGTTCTACCAGCAGATTAAAGTACCGGTATTCATTTTTAGTTTGAAGATTTTGTGCTTGTTTCAATATAACGTCATTGTGCCTTTTAGCAGTAGCTTATTCTTTTCATTAAGATTACTTTGTTGGTGAATAGTTCTTGACAAATATTAGAATAAATTAACCTAATTTGAATACATTGAATTTAATGATGTCTCCAGTTAGACTAGGCTTAGATCACTTGAGGTCACTTTTCTACTTTCTACAACTATTCTACTTTTTTCATAGACATTTTGAGAAACACTAAAAAGCATAGGTGGGTAAATTGCTAGCCAAGAACTGGTTTCTGTCCATAATTTTCTATGCTTAATGCCATTTATGCTCTACACTGCTGAAATGTGTGAATTCTTCAACCCGAAACCTGTATGAAGCCTCTTAAATCACAGCCATTAACTGTTTGATTGCTAAACTTGCCATAGTGTTTCATTCTGCATTATGATTAACTGCAGTTATAATACAATATTCATACATTTTCTTAATCATCAAACCTATCCCTGTGACGTAACAAGAAGAACTGAGGTCGTTTAAGGACTGCAGTTGTGTATGGGGTATTTGCATGTTTGATGTTTCCAAAGCCTGTTTAAGATCTTTGAATAGCAGGCATACATCTCTCACTCCTGGCCATTGCCCGGCTCCTCTTTGATGTACTTCCTTTCGTGCTTCCCGTATTCCTGATGTGATCATCTCTATCATCCTCTGTAGCCCGTTCCTGTGGCCCGGGCACTTCATCTGTTCGTTTCATGTTTTGCTTTTTTTGCTTCTCTCTCTTTATCCTGTCTTTCTCTGTGTGTCCAGGGAAACACGATAGAGTCGGAGCACCTGTCAGAGCTGACAGAGGAGGAGTATGAAGCCCACATCTACCAAAGACAGGATCTGAAGGGCTTTATGTGGCTTGATGCAAAGTACCTTAACCCTTTCTTCACCCGCAGACTTACCCAAGAGGTACGCCACTGTCAGTTCAAATCTGTCACATACTGTACTACATGGAAAACAAGGATTTCTGCATGTTTTAATTAATAGAAACAAAAAAGGCACAAAATTAATCTAAAAACACATTAGAGTTACATAAAGGTCAAAAATTGCATTGCATTACATCATAAGGCTTTCAAGTTACTTTGAAAGGGAACTGGGCCTCAGAGGTACTGTGACAGGGGACTGAATAAATAATTGAGTGTCTAGCAAGGCCATATATAAACATTCAATACATTATTTAAAAATGTCACAATATTAATTAGATATTATCTGACACATGAATGAAACTAAGATCCTGCATGACTCTTAACTTATTTAATATAAGGTTATATGCTATATTACCAGAATGTTGAGCAATGCCTTCTCCACCCACCCAGTGAATCTCTGTAATGTAAACAAGGGTTTCTTAAACAGAGGTGGTGGTATTTAGGTTAAAGGTGAAATATGCAACTTTTATGGTGGGAAGACCGCCACTCGCTTGCCTCCATAAAGAAATTATTGCTTTGCCTTAAATGTTCCCAGTGCAGTTAACATCTACAGTGACACTTTCTGCCATTTCAGTATCTGGTCTGTTTTCTGGTGAATGACCACCAGAGGGCAGTAAAGTTAGTCAAAGAATAATAGAAAAAGAAAAACTGCAACAAGAAAAACAAACATGGATGCACCTGCTTCTGCAATTACATTTTGACATTTGGTGGAAAGCAGGTGGAAAATTTGTTGAAGCCTTTTCTACTCATGTTTTTAAAACTCTGTGATAACTCGTGAAATGACGGATAGAGTGTAAATGAGCCTAAATTGTGAGAGGGATCACTCCCTCCCCCAATTTGGCTGGTGGTCAGGTCTGGTTATTTGCCTATCCTTATGAAGTTAGAAACGGTTACCGATGATAGATGGTCGACCCTCCACCAAGCAGTTACATAATAATAGTGTTGCAATGTTCAACTATTTTTGTCATGATTTAGTTTGTACTGGGCTTAGGCATCGCTAATGTTGTTGTGTTTAACAGGATCTCTTACATGGGCGAATTCAGATGAAAACTTTGACCAACAAATGGTACGAAGAGGTGCGCCAGGGTCCCTCTGGATCTGAAGACGATGAGGATGAGGCTGAACTACTGTAAAATACTACAGTATGAGCACTATACAGGAGAACCATAAAGGGACAATGTGAATCCAGGTCATTTTCACTTTGACAACAGGACTTTCACTTGTGCCAGTACTGAAGGTTTTTACGACAAGGTTTTTTTTTGTTGTTGTTGTTGTTTTTTTGTTTTTCACTCAACTTATTTTTTATAATGTTAAGATGAAGGATGATTCTGGGTAACAAAGTGAAAAATTAAAACCTTATGCTACTGGTGTTTTTGAAGTGTTCCTGCTAACACTGTCCACTCTCTAAGGGAACTAGTTGAACCATTAATGGGGATATTTTGTGAAGCAATACAAGAGCACCTTTTCATTTATATGTCATGTACTGTAAGTTGTCTTCAGCACTTTTGTTGGCTGTCTTTTGTTTGTTTGTTTCTCCAAGCCATGTTACAGTCACAAATAATTTAAACTTTAATTGACAGATCATTGAAAGTGTTTTTTACCTGAAAGACAAATTAAGAATAATGAACTGTAGCCTTCTGATCCAGTTTTGTTTAAAATTAAAGATTGCACTAGTTTCCATAGATTTTAATTTAGACAACAATGAATGTGTGTGGGCAACTTGAGACTATGAATGTGGTTTTATTTATCACATATTTATGTTTAATGTGGGTTTACGTGGTATAAAGGCCTTTTATAAATGTGAAAAATATTTAAGAAGTGAGTATGAAGTGTATGGACACAATTAAAATGTATATTAAAAAAATGTATTTGAATCCAGATTTTTTTTTTTTTTGCATTGTAAATAAAGTCAAATAGTGGGGGCACACTCTATATTTAGCAAAGAAGAAACAGTTTATTCCCATAGAGGCTACGTATTATACTGACTTTTGGAAGTGCATCATACTCATGAACTCAAGAGCTTTGTTTAAAGTTGGACTATGTCATTTTTCTGATAAGAATCCAGCACCTGGTTGTGTCGATGGAGATATGCTAGGGAGATTGCTTTCCCTGGGTTGTACCATACTATGACATTCAACGTTCTTATTAGTAAACAATACCTTTAAAAAATATTCTTCTGACTATAAGGTGGTCCACCTTTTCACAAATCAGATCTGTAAATTGGCACGGTGCTTGTGTCCATGGAAATAGTTCAGTTTATATCATACTGTGAAAAATTCCAGGCATCTCTATGGTCACCCTGAAAGTTACACAGTGCACCTAAATAAAATTGTACTATTGTATACCAGCGTGTTGGGTTTAGCATTTGTAATTGTTATTATCAAAGAATTTTAAGGTTTTAAATTATTTGCAAGACTTAAAAACAATAATTACCAATGATGAATCCTAGCCAGTATGGACTCTGGAGTCCAGCTATACATTGGTCATAGGGCCATTCTGTAAAATGTAATGTGTGTTGGGAGATGGTGTGTAATAAGAGTTTATGGCCAGTAGGTGGGGAATATGGACCATGAAATATTAATAACCCCATATACCCTGCTAGATTAAGACAGTGTTGCATTATTCACAACCCCCAATTATAATCAGTTACTCAGACACTGGACATGGTTAAAAGCACATGATTGTAATGAGATCGTATGACCGTGTGCCACAGTTTGGGGTTCAGTGAGAGAAGTTAAAAACACAGACAAAGGTGTGAAAATGTGGTCCACAGGTTTTACTTTTGTTTTTTTGTTGTTTTTTTTAATAGTTTACAAAAGTGCAGATACAAAAAGTGCAAGGTGGAGACAGCCAGAAGTTTTCCTTTCAGCAGAACACAGAAAGACGTATGGAGGCACGTTTTATCCCTTCTGTCTGATTGGGTAAAACTACAATATCCAAAACAGGAATGGTAAAAATTAACATTAGCTTAAAATAGTGCCCTAACATTCTGTAAAACGAACCTCTCTTTTAGGACTCTTTAGGACTGGGACAGAAGAAAAAAGAAGTAAGTACAAAGCAAAACACCACACCATTAATTAAAACACAATAAAATACACAAACGCACACTTAAAACATTCTGAAGCTGATATATATTTCAACATATCTATTGCATTACTCAGTTTTAAAGTACCATAACTGGTTAATTAAACATGTCTTCTTTTCCTCCAGGGTCCAGAAGTCAACTGAAGTGCCACTGTGCTTCAGGATTAAAAGCAGTAAAAGGAAAGCCAATACACACATTTTTAAATCCAATTATGTGCAATTTCTTTTTTAATATGTGCAAAAATGTTTAAAGTGTTGTGTGCTATCAAATGTGCTGTGTTTTAAAGTGTCTTCGTGAAGGGTGAAGGTGCTGAGTGTTATGAACAAGGTGGATTTGCAGTGTAAATATTCTATGGAGCAGTTCCTCAAGATATAATTTATAAAACTATTGCCTTCTTATAACCCCTTACATACATCTTGAGGCTTATTTTTAAAAATCTTCCATTTTTTTCTACTTCAATATTTAAACGTAAGTTGAAACATTTAACAGCTTGGCGGGAGTCCAAGAAAATATTGTCTAAACATGAAACAACAGTGTAATCCAAAGTGTCTTAATGCTTAATGCTCTGTACGACTGTCTCATAAAAAATTTATTAAAAAGTATTACTCTAACTGCTTTGTATTTTTCATCTAAAACTTTAAGATATATTTATTTGTAGATACAGTAAAATACAACACATTTAATAAGAAAAAAGTACATTTAATCCCATTTTTACACAAGAAATATAGCATTAACTTCATTAACGTCCTGCTTTATATAGATGAGTGCTGTGGCCTTGTCCATTGCGCAGTACATCTACTTTACATTCGGCTCTTTAAAATGAGCTCACACATCTGCCCATTTTGACTCTCCAATTAAAATATCTTTCTAACCACTCTGGGGGTAGTGAATACTAGTACTCCCTCTGTATCCTCATGAATAGTGATGTGATTGGCCCAAAGGTGAACTCTGCGGCGTTGCTCTTGTAATAATATTCATTCATACATGAGTGATGTACTTCTTAGTAACTTTCAAGGCTCAAGACATTTTTAATTTGTGTAGAATATTTCAGAAATGTGTACTTCATGGCAATATAAAAGAAATATGGTTGAATTCTGTCAAAGTCACTTATATAAAAATATGATTCTGTGCAGACTTGAGCCTTACATATTTTTCAGTTATGTCCAAATGTACATAAAAGGCTGGTCACAACTTGCTTGGGGTTAGAAAAGGGGACATTGGTGTACAAATCATTATCCAACATATATTTTCATCTATTTTGTGCTCCCCGGTGGTGCAGGGATTGCTCATATGTTGTTGTCACCTTGGCCTCAGGTTCATCTCTGGCCACTATTGTGTGCTGAATGTCTCTACCTCTCTGTCCCCACTTCACACTACAGCTGTCCTCTCCAGTAAAGCCTTTGGGCCAGAAAATCTATGACTGGAAACAATGTGTGCTGACCTCAACCAAAGCTCTCGGCCTGACCTCATTGTCAAAGCCTGAACTTGTCAGATCTCAGAAGCCAATCTAAGGCCTAGTCAGTGCTTGAGGATCCACAGTGGGTCACTGTGTCCTTAGGTACTTCACATACATTGCCTAGTATGAAGGTGGTGTGAGCTTGAAAGTTGATGTTATGTTTTTTTTTTAATCTAAAACAATTCATTATTTATTTGTTTTTCATTTATCTGATCTTTTGTCCAGTGATAACTTTTGCTGACTGTTCATTAATATTAACAAATGCATGACCAGTCAGCAAGCCATTTTTAGTGAAACCCTAACCTTGTTGGCATATGGTGACGCATGTGGTTCACAGGAGAACAGATGCTGCTGTTCTGTATGAGGGTCTATGGCAGAAAAAATCTGTCTCTATATGTGTGGTAGACTTGTGACGAGAGCAGCAGGAGAGGAGCAGGCCACTCACATGTGAAGGCTGTGTGCATCGTCTGTAATGAACAAATGAACAAAAACCTCGGAAGGGGCCTGGAGGTTGAGGAGTGACCGGAGGTAAGGCTATCTGCAGGAACACCACACACACACACACACCTGCCATTGTCACTCCAACTTTGTTTACTTCACCTTTACCTTTTACTTCAACTTTTTTAGGGTGAGATCGGGACTACATGCACATTCGCAACCATTATAAAGAATTCCATGGGTGACACAAAACACACAAATTATGAAAAAAAAAAGGTTGTTATATATTTATTTATTTATTTATTTATTTATTTATAATATATACATTTATTTATTTATTTAAAAGTGCACTATGTAACTTTTTGGTTGGGGGTCTGTTGTTGCCTGCGTGTTTCTATGGAGATGTCATTGCTCTGACTGGAATGTTCCACAGTATGATATTAAACAGCTCTGCCTTACATTTATTAAATTACAGGTGGTTTTATAGCTTAAAAATACCTAGAAAAACTGATATTTTGACTATGAGCGAGGTCGCCTCTTCACAGATCTAACCTGTAACTTGGTCTGGTTAGGTTTCCATGGAGATAGAAAGGTTTAATGCCATACAGTCAAACATTCCAGACAAAGTAATAACATCTCATGGAGAAAAGCATTTGAGGGACCCTCCACCAGAAAAGTTACACAGTGCAGCTTTAAAATTACAGGAAGTAGTGCTATGTCCTAAAATGGAATGTCTCATCACCAATACATGCAAATCAGAGACAAATAAATGCTCAAAAATACATTTTTCTAAACTCATATTTATTTAACAAAATATATTTGTGTCAAACTGGACAGGCTTTGACCCTTGTTGACATATGGTTGCTATTTAACAATCATGCAATCACATCTATGTCATCTGTTGTTTATGTCCAACCAGGATGTAAAATTGTATGTGTTTACAGAAAAAAAATCTGTACTGGGAAAGCTTATGCACTTCTAGTAACATCTCAGTGTAAAAGCTGTACTATTATTTTGTCTATAAGCTGCACTGAAAAATAATGACATTGATATGCACTGATAAAATTCTGTCTTTTCAGCTGTTGTGTATGCAAGAAGGTGCCACCAAAACAGACTGGTCTTTTTCAGGTAATGTAAGGGCAGGATGGGCTAATTGTGTGATATTATGTCAATTTTATGAAACCCTATCTTAAAATAACTGCTGTGGTCTTAAATGTTTAATGTGAAGTTGAGTTGAATATAACAGTCGGCACTTCTCTAATCATGTTTATGAGTGAGAGAAATAGCTTCCATAAAAGGGATTGTGGGCGACTTTTATGACCCTGCCCCTGGTTTATGTCATGTTGTAAAAATATTGAATTACAACCTGTATATGAGCAGCCATGTTACTCCCTCCCGTTTTATCTTCATGTGTGATATAAACAACATTTATGAAAATGTTATTTGTCTTATCAACAGTTAGTCCCAAGGTCATAGCCATAAGTGTGTATATGTAAATGCATTTACAATGTAAACATTTGTGCGAATTCTACAGCAAGATGGATTCTCATGATATTTGTGAGTTCACAAACTCATGAGAATCCATCTTGCACGGATTTCAGTGTATGGTTACAAAACACACATGATGACGTCGACAGACGTACATTGTTTGTGGATTTATGGACAGGGAAGATGTGTTTGCCTGTCTCTTAACTGGATGTAACAACAGTTTGATTTTTCAGCTTGTTCCACTGTTGTAGTGCTTTGACCAATCAGATTCAAATAGTCATCATGATGCTCCGTATTTTCATATCACTTTCAGAGAGAACCATCTCAGATTGATAATGTGTAGAACTCAACTCAGAGTGACTCACATATCAATCTGGTGAGCCACTTATACACCACATGCATGTCTC